CGCGGGAGCTGATGGCAGCGGGCGCTGGATATTTGTGGAGGTCAGTGTGGATATTGTGGATGAGTTCTTCTGTGTCATCACGTTCTATTAGTTCTACAGCTTCAGTTTCTGAGCTTTCACGCTTATTAACACATACAGCTGTGCCCTCACCACAGTGCAGCAGCGAAAAGGGACCCCTTTCAAACAGTGTTGCGTTCCGAACGTTGTTTAAGCGACATACACCGGTATTGCGGTATTTAAAACATTCATATCATAACAAAAATTCCTTTTAGTGAGCCGATTCTTTTAAAGAATGGTTCAAAGATGAGTTATTGGTTTGAACGTATGTAATTTACATCAGCATTGAGAAGATCTCTTTCTGTAAGCAAAATGGACTTTATAACTGAACTATGCCCAAATGAATCTGAATCAAAAATCTTGAATCAATGAGTCATGAAAAATTAAGATTTTGAATCGGTCGAAGTTAACAGTTGATTCACTTTCTGAATCTCAAGTCATATTCGGTCAGATGTTTTTATGGCCTAATTGTAAGGTTGAATTGACTTGGAGGAGAATCTTTGGGAGTAAAGCTTTTAAGGTTACTAACAACAAACATACTTGACTTTGTCTTTTCCAAACTCGCTGAAATGATCTACAAAATATAGGGTTTTTTCCCTCCAAATTTGAACAGATTTTATCATGTTGAACACCTGGATTCATTGAGCGCTTCATGCACCAGTTAACGTCTCCAAGTTTCAGTCTTTCCTTTCATCTGCATCTTAAACCGTTCTTCAAAGACGGTTTGTTTAAACGTCCCATGCCAGTAAATGCTAATCGCGCATGCGTTTTCTCTGTGCAGTTACCCTGAGAACGGCATGGTGCAGCTGCGCGGGAAAGACGTCCGTCCGCGGGCGCGCACCGTCTACCAGTGGCACCAGCTGGAGCAGGGCATGATCGTGATGGTGAACTACAACCCCGACGAGCCCAAGGAGCGCGGCTACTGGTACGACGCCGAGATCCAGAGGAAGAGGGAGACGCGCACCCAGCGCGAGGTTTACGGCAAGATCCTGCTCGGGTAGGGCGACGTTTAGTCTTTAACCCTAAAACTGGCAACGTATCCTGTGGGATACAAACATTTGAGAGGCAGGGAAAGTGTAGGTCTCATTTCTTGGTTTCATTTTGAAAGGTTGTTTGTTGTGAATATTTAGACACATTGACTTTGTTCATACATTCTTTGTTTAGCTCACGGGCAGCATTTAAAACTGCATGGCCGCCTGTAGTGGGAAATCTACTCACCCTCCTAAAAAAGTTGCTCTAGTTCACATATTTACACACGTTGAAGGGGACTTGCCTGTTTAAAAAGCTGTTCAGCATTAGCTTATTAGGTTTACATTGAAAGTTTATGAATTAAATGCTTACATTTTTTGTAATCTGTCTCTAAATGTTTGTATCTCAGAGGATACGTCGCCCTTTTAGGGGTATAAATCAAGATATAAAAACATATATATATGTATATGTGTGTGTATGTACTCATGTACTCTGTGATTTTGTGGCTTGTGTTTTAGAAAATCAAATCTTTTTGTAATCTTGACAAAACACATCGTTGGAAAGGTCTGACAGTCAAGGTTCCATATTTGGTGACTGTTTTGTAATAGAAGTGATATTGTGACAGAAAATTATTGATTTGTGACCGAAAACCGCATCAAAAAATTCAATAGAGTTTGGGTGTCACCCAGTGGTTATTTTTGGTATAGTGCCCAAACAAAATCTCACAGGAACCACAATTTTGGTGATACCAACTTCAAATTTGGAACATAACTTGGTTAGACATATGGCTTAGATTTTATAGCATTTGAAGTGCAGCATTTTATAAAGTGTTTATTTTATATACAATATTTATATACAAACTCAAACATCTATAACTTTTTTTTTTATACTTTTTTTGAAGTGCGTTCACTTCAGCAATAATCTGCTATGTTTCTTCTTTAAAAAGAGACCAACCGTATTCCAAATTGTTCAGGAATTACAACCACGTTGTAACAAGCATTGATAAACAAGTGGTCTGTTTTCAGTGAATTTATACCCCAACCTGGCAACGTATCCAGTGTGGGATACAAACATTAAAATAAAAATGATAAGTCATGTTTTGAAAAAAAATGATCAAGTTGTATAATTTGGAAAATAGCAATAAATAAGTTTTCTGATGTCTCTTTATAGTCTTGCCATTTTTAGGGTTAAAAGGGGATAGTTCACCTAAATTTTTTTTTTTTAATCTCTAATTTACTCATCCTCCACTTGTTCCAAATGAGCTTCTTTATTCTGTTGAACACAAAAGAAAATATTTTGAGACTTTATATGGTAACCAAACGGTTAACGGTAGTCATTGACTTCCATAGTATGGAAAAAATACTACGGAAGTCAAAAGCTACCATCAACTCTTTGGTTTCCAAGATTCTTTGAAATAGCATATTTTGCACTTCCTTAAGCCTAGCTTGTGCAAGAACAAATGCGTGAAGTGTGGTTTGACCAACATTTTACTTATGTAGTCGTGTTCAGTTAGCAGAACGTATTTGCATTAATTGCTCATTAAGGAAATTGTCTTGTTCGATGAGGAAATGTAATTAAAAATGGTCTGTTCCACTATAAATGTCTTGCTGACCATTTTCTTTTATTGGTCTAATATGAGTTTATCATATTTCAATTATTTACAGACTTAATGATTTTAAATGCGTAGTTAATTATGACGTTTTACTATGCAATTAAAATGCATGTTTCAAGAGATATAAAACAAGTATATAGTGTGGTTAAGGCTTTAAAATTATTTGTAAATTATCAAATGTTTAAATCTCTTGTAAAGTGTAAACGCGAAAAGGAATGTTTATCAAACCACTTTTTACATAAGGCGTCGCTTTCAGTTAGCAGAACAAATTTGCATTAATTTCTCATGAAAATTGCCTTGCTTTCATTTCTTTCTGTTGATTTGCCATATCTGTGCAGGTTTAGTGCAAATACTGAACTCATGACATTATCGAGAACATTGCAAACACCAAACAAAACACACCTACAGAGTTTAGTTCTGTTGAACTTAATGATTTTAATTGTATAATGAACAGTTTAATTATAATATTAATTGTAGCTATATATACCTAAAATAAATACTTTAAGTTTTACTATGCAATTAAAATGCATGTTTCAAGAGATTTAAAACAAGTATATAGTGTGGTTAAGGCTTTAAAATTACTTGTAAATTATCAAATGTTTAAATCTCATGACATTATCGAGAACATTGCAAACACCAAACAAAACACACCTACAGAGTTTAGTTCTGTTGAACTTAATGATTTTAATTGTATAATGAACAAAGTTTAATTATAATATTAATTGTAGCTATATATACCTAAAATAAATATTGTAATTATAACAAACATTTTATTATACAATTATAATCACATTTAAAAATATTTAAAACAGTTTGTTACAGGACTATAAATTCATTGGTAAACCTCTCAAAGTGTTCATAAAAAAGGTTCTTATGCAGGAACATGTAAAATGTCGAACTATTTTTTTACGCAACATGTTGCATTCAGTTAGCAGAACGAGTTTTGCGTTAAATGCTCATTAAATCCTATTAAAATGGTGTCTATTCCATTATAGACGTCTTGATGGCCTTTTTCTTTCTGTTGACTCACCACCATCCCTGAGGACGAGGACTGGTATACGAGTTTATCTAATAGTTCTGTCCAAAGCAGCGACAAATCAACTCAAACTCAACCTTCTGGTGACGTCAAAAAATTCTTAAGTATTTGAATTGTATAATGAAGAAAGTTTGATAACAATTTCCATACAAATTTGTTTATACAAGATTTAAATATGTTAAAGATATTTAAAACAATTACGTAGCTTAGTGTATAGTTATGGGGAAGTCGTAACCCAAAGGTTGGGGGTTTGAGTCTCGTACCGGCAGGGCTGTGCGACATGGACAAAAAAAATCTATTGCGATTTTCTTTGACGCACACAGACATGCTTTACAGTCATTAATGCATTCAGTGTGAATTTGAAACATATTTCCAAAAGAAAACCAATTAGAGCGTTATCAAAAAGCTGTAACATGTCTCTAGAACAGATATAAGGCAAAATAATCACCAAGTAAAGGTGTAACAAAATGTCTCTAGAATAGACATGGCAGAAAGAAAAAAAAAACCCCCGTGTCCAGGGATTTTATTTTTTTTGCCATGCATTGGTCATAGAGGTCTTTGTGGCGTTGCCTCAGATGTTGAACTAGATTTGTTGCGCCAAGTTCACACGTACTCCATGTGCAGTGCGTTTACAGTATGTGTATGCGGTGCAGAAGCAGCACGGACTCATTTTGCTTTCGCACAGGACGCGTTTGCAGTCCGCTCCTGATCCGTGGCTGTTTACCACAAACACAACATTTATCCATTATTTTGATTTCAAATCCAAACATTGTTTCTGAAAATGCTTTTTCAGCATTGTGATTCTCTTTTATCACAGTACAGTAATACAATCTTTCATAGACATATTCATGTTTAAACTCAATAAATATAACTTTGTTTTCCTACCTCCACGAGTGCCATCTATTATTGCCTTGTTTATCTAAAAGTGCACTTTTCCTTGTTTTAAATCTAGCCAAAAAGCCATGTGTTGACTGAAACGGTAGACTTTAATTATATGCATTTATTATTAATTACAAAATTTCAGTGTCAATCCATGTTAATTTTTACCGCGAATAATGCGCTGTCACTTTAATTCAGCGCGTGCAGCACAGCAGAAATGGACTCCGTGCGGAAACGATCGCAGCATGACTGCTGCAGACGCACTGCTCCTGGAGCGCACTGCCGGAGCGCAATCGCGTGCCGTGTGAACGCTCTGATCCGTTAACATGGGCATGGAAAATATACGCACCACAGCCGGAGTGTGTGAAACTGGCGTTACATTACGTTTGTATGCCCGCCCGGTCTGTTCTGATCTCGTGCTGCATTCTGATTGGTTCGGATTGCATACTGCGGGAGGTCGGGGGCACGGAAAATCGTGCTATAAAGCGATTTAGAAATCGCACAAGCTCGAATCAGATAATGATAATAAATAACATCCCTAATTTGAACCAACAACCTTCTGGTGACGTCAAAAAAATTGTTCGATTTAACTGTTTTCGTGCTCAAAATTTGTCTCTTAAATTTAGCTACAAACTTTAAATTGTATAATGAAGAGAAAGTTCACTGTAGTCCACTTTGATCATAAAGTTTTGTGTATGCAATGTTTACAAATAAAGATCTCAATTACATAGATTTGTTACACGTGGCTCTAAAATGGAATAAATGGAATGTACAAAGTGTTTGTAAAACATTCTCGCAGCAAGGACTAGTAATCAAGTTCTGCATCACTAATTACTCCTCATTTATCTAATATGTTCATTCAAAGCAACAATAAATACTCTTAAGGGATTTGAAACAACAACCTTGTCAACATCCAGCTTGTTAGATTTAGCTGTGGTTTCATGCTTAAAGTTTGTCTACAAACGTAAATATTTTAATTGTATAATGAAGAAAAAATTCATTAGTTAACTAACTCTTATCATACAGTTGTTTATACAATATTTAAATATATTAAAGATATTTAAAATAATTACATAGATCTGTTAAACTAAATTCTAAAATAATTAGCAAATTGTTAAATTTGTGTAAATTGCTGTGTTCATAAAACCATTCTTGCGACAAGGACTGGTAAACGATTTCTCTGTAACCAATTAATTACTCATTTATCTAATACATTCTTCGAAAGCAACAAAAAAATCGACTCTTGAGGGATTTGAACCAAAAACGACATAGATCTGTTAAACTAAATTCTAAAATAATTAGCAAATTGTTAAATTTGTGTAAATTGCTCAGTGTTCATAAAACCATTCTTGCGACAAGGACTGGTAAACGATTTCTCTGTAACCAATTAATTACTCATTTATCTAATACATTCTTCGAAAGCAACAAAAAAATCGACTCTTGAGGGATTTGAACCAAAAACCTTCTGCCAAAATCAAAACGCTTGTTAGTTTTAGCTCTATTTTCATGTTCGCAAGGTTTGTCTCAAATTTATCTTCAAACTTAATTTAATTGTATAATGAAGAAAAAAGTTCATGGTTAACCTTTGCATACAATTTGGTTTATACAATATTTCAATATTAAAAGTATTTAAAACAATTACATAGTTTGGTGTAACGATCTCTGTCGTTTGTAAATCGATTAAATTTGTGTAAGTGTTCATAAAACCATTCTTGTGACGATTCCTCCACTAATTACTCGTCATTTATCTAATACTTTAATTCAAAGCTACAATAAATCGACTATTGAGGGATTTGAACCAACAACCTTCTGGCAAAATATGCAAAATGTTTGTAAAACTACATTATAATAAGTTTTTGCCTTCAGTTAGTGAAACAAATTTGCGTTAATTGCTCATGAAACCATTGCGCAAATTGTCGATGAGCAAAAAAAAAAAAAATTGAAACGTGTCGATTCCACTATAATTGTTTTTTTCCGCAGGTATTGTCCTGAATGCCGTAACGATGCCAGCGAGGTGGTTCTGGCTGGAGAGAAGCTGAAGGAAAGCAAGAAGAAGGCCAAGATGGCGTCGGCGAGCTCGTCCAGTCAGAGGGACTGGGGGAAGGTGTGTTTCAGACGGACGCATGCGCAAACAGAGGTGGGGTTGGTTCAGATGAAGTGTTTATGAGCCTGCTGTCTCGTTTGGCAGGGTATGGCGTGTGTCGGCCGCACTAAACAGTGCACCATCGTTCCCTCCAACCATCACGGCCCCGTTCCTGGAGTCCCAGTGGGAATGCTGTGGAAATTTAGAGTGCAGGTGGGCATCTCTGATCTGCTCGAGTTTGTCTCGTTTATGGTCACGAACCCTAGAAAGTGTTTTATTTAAAAAATTTGAATTTATTATTATTTTTTAAATATTTTTTTTATTTATAGTTTCCATTATTAGTTTAATAATTGAGTAAAAGTAGTAAAAAAATATATATATATATATATATATCATTTATTTTTAAAAAAAAATTTTGGGCCTTTTATAACTCATGGAAACTCTTAAAGTACTGGTTTTATTATTAAGAATAATTATAAAATTTAGATGGTATAATTATAGTTTCCATTATTAGTATTAGTTTTATTAAAAAAATTACATTAATTTATAGTTTCCAAAATTAGTTTAATAGTAAATAATACTAGATTTTTTTATAGGCCTTCTATAATCATAGAAACCCTAAAAAGTATTAGTTTTATTTATATTAAAAATTATATATTTTTTATAGTTTAATTACAGTTTCCATTATTAGTAGTATCAATATTAGTTTTATAAAATAAAAGTTTTAAAGTGTTTTTTTTTTTTTTATAAATTATAGTTTCCATTATTAGTTTAATAATGGAATAAAATTAGTAAATAATGCAAAATAAAACGTATCTTATCTAAATGACTTTTCTACTCTCTTAGAAATAAGTCATAGAAAGTCTTTTCTTATTTCTAAAGTTGTTTATGAAGATGTTTAAAACAATTACATAGTGTTTGCAACACATTTCTTTAAAATTGTATAATGACCAAGCTAATAATGTGTTTCGTAACCGTTTTATCATAAAATTAAGATTTTTATACTACATATTTAATATAAAAATAATTTAAACAATTGTTTTAAATGGACTTGTGTAATTTTTTCAATTGTTTATAATATTTAAATATATTTGCATATTTAAATTAATTAATTTATTGTTTTTCTTCAACACTGCACAAATAATTCATAAGTTAAAAGTATTTATAAAAGTCCAGTAATCAAGAAAAAAGTAAATTCGTCGGCCAGTGAAAGGAGTGCGAACCCTGTTTTTTCCTGATGGTCATGCATGTGGACACGTGCTGGAGATGAAGGTGATCTTGTTGTGTTTGTGACGCTCAGGTGAGTGAATCCGGCGTTCACAGGCCTCACGTCGCTGGGATTCACGGCAGAAGTAACGACGGCGCTTATTCACTGGTTCTTGCCGGAGGCTATGAAGACGATGTGGTACGTCTGCAGATACTCGCCCCAAACCATCCTTTGAGAAGTCTTTCCCTTCCTCTGTTAACCTGTGACTCTGTCTTTATCAGGACGATGGTAACGAGTTCACCTACACGGGCTCCGGGGGTCGCGACCTCTCAGGAAACAAGAGGACGGCCGAGCAGTCCTGCGATCAGAAGCTCACCAACATGAACAGGTCCGAGAAACAGCGCTGCACGTTCAAGACAAAGTCGTAAAACCTACGTGACACGATGATAAACCAGTATTCAGACAGAGATGTAATATAAAATATGGATTATTAATTGTAATACTGATAATTATTGTACACTGAACCATACAAAACAACACAATTAATTGAATTATAGCTTTAATATTGTATCAAAGTTCATTATTCAACATTTGTTATTAATATTTTTTTTGTTACAGTAATGTAAACTAAACCAAAGAAAACAAGGAAATATGAGTTATAATGTATTAAAAAAAAATAACACACTTGAACTGAATTATATCTTTTATAATTGTATAAAAACATTCACTTTTTTAAAAAATCATAATCTGTATGATTTAGTTATTTAACCAAATTAATTTTATTATATTTGAATGCTGTCAAACGATTAATCGCATCCAAAATAAAAGTTTTTGTTTACATAATATATGTGTGTGTTCTGTGTACATTTATAATGTGTGTGTGTGTATGTATATATGTATTGAATATATAAATGTAACATTTTTTCTTAAATATATACATGCATGTGTGTATTTATATATACATTATAAATATACACAGAACACACACATATATTATGTAAACAAACTTATTTTGGATGCGATTAATCATTTGACAGCATTAAAATATAATAAATTTAATTAGGTTAAATAACTAAATCACACTGATTATGATTAATCGTTTGACAGCACTATTATATTTATACTCTGAGCGATGCAAACTCAGGTTAGAAACATTTAAAAAGTCCTGGGAATAAGTTCTCATCCAAATGATGACAAATACGTTTTTAACACGTTTAATAAATAACATGTAGTTGGATCATAGCTTTTAAATCGTGTGAAATTATTAGTTTTTTTTTTAATAGTGCTTTATACAAAGCTGCTTCTCAGTAGTAATCTGGAAAATAAGTGTTAAAGATGTAATTAATGAATAGAATTTAATTAGGTTAAATAACTAAATCACACTGATTATGATTAATCGTTTGACAGCACTATTATATTTATACTCTGAGCAATGCAAACTCAGGTTAGAAACATTTAAAAAGTCCTGGGAATAAGTTCTCATCCAAATGATGACAAATACGTTTTTAACACGTTTAATAAATAACATGTAGTTGGATCATAGCTTTTAAATCGTGTGAAATTATTAGTGTTTTTTTTTAAATATAGTGCTTTATACAAAGCTGCTTCTCAGTAGTAATCTGGAAAATAAGTGTTAAAGATGTAATTAATGAATATTGCGTCAGGTTTTGCGTGAATTCTCCTGTTTTTAAGGCTTTATTGTTGCTGTGTTGTTTGTAGGGCTCTTGCGCTGAACTGCAACGCGGCGGTGAACGAGAAGGAAGGCGCCGAGGCCAAAGACTGGAAAGCTGGGAAACCCGTGAGAGTCGTGCGCAGCTCCAAAGGACGCAAACACAGCAAGTACAGTCCTGAAGACGGCAACCGATACGACGGCATTTACAAGGTGAGCGATTCCTGGTGTTTTGAGCATGATGTTTTTGCAGGGTTTCTGTGGGTATTAAACCGCTCTTAGGAGCGGTTGCATCAACAAGGATTAATTTAAGTAAGGTTTAGAGCTAATCAAAGATTTGTTGATCTGGGTTTTATGTTGTGTTGTGTTGCACCACTTAATTTTAAACACAGATGAACAAATCAGGGATTAGAACTCTAACCTGCGATTAAAACCTCCATCTACGATTAATTTTCTCCACCATGATGGATGCAATTAAACAGGAACAATGCTAATATTCCTAATTTTTCTTTGCTTACTACCAAACTCTTTCTGACATAAGTTGCTTGTCAAAAAAGGAAATAAACTTGTAAAATAAACTGCTATCGTTATTCAAACGGCTGATCAAGCAAGCAATGAATACATTTCTGGCAGTGCATACGGATTTCATAATCCTGGAAATATATTTATAGTATCAATTAATGGAGTATGTTTTATGACGGCGCCTCCCTGGCTGTTTGATCGCCGGCCAGCATCCACGCGTGGAGCGGGCGTGAGAAACGAGAGGCGTGGCCGCGATCATTGGCGCTCACTTCATCGTCACCGCTGCCATTAAATGCTATACAGTATATTTCTGTTTTCTTTGTCGTGTGCTGAGACGCACCGAGATGAGTGACGGATTCACATCCCGGACTCGAGTTTACTACGGGCTGCCAAGACCCTCACAATCTGCTGGCTCAATGCGCTTAAATCTTCCTTTTTATTTGTAATAAACACCTGAGACCTCACAACACACCCTCTATTGTTTTCTTTGTTTAATCAGCCACATAATTGTAACTGTAGGTGCACTTTATTTCATTTACACCTGTAAGTTTAAAATTAATCCCTAATTGAGATTTCAATCTGAGTTTAAAGTTATGGAGCAACATGATTAAAGTTAATCTATTTTAAATATAAATCCAGGATCAAGATGATGGTTTGAATGTAATCCTGCTTATTTTTAAACAAGGTTTAAACCTTGATTTAATCTAGATTAAAGCTTAATGCTTGTTGGTGCAACCCACCCTTAAAGTCTTAATTCACACTTCCACAGATTAAAGATGTCAAAAAGTCTTAAATCAGAGCAGGAAGTTTTACAATTGAGAAAGTCATGGCATTAAATTTTGCATTGCACTGCAAAAAATCAATATCGTCCTCCATATTTTTGTCTTGTATTCCAGTCCTAATATAAGTGAACAGTAGAAAGTTATTAGATTTCCTGTGAGCGCATGTGATGGACCTTGCAATTGAAGCGTACTGATACATTTGAATTATACTTTCTATATTTATTTTAGTTGTTTTTATTCAATTTAAAAAAAAAGTATTATACGCAATTTTTTTATATGCATTACATTTTTATAGTTATTTGTATTTAATTTTTTTAAATTTACATTTTTAATGATACTTTTAATGTAGTTTAGTTTTTATTTTAATTCTACATAGTTTTTTAAATTATACTTTCAGTAGAATTGTATTTGTTATATTATATATTTTCTAAAAGTTTAATTATACTCTCAATCATGCTTCATTTTAATTATGATTTAAATTTTATTTTATTCAAATTATACATATGTATTTTGGTTATTGTAATGCATTATGCTCATTTTAATTATACGTTTTATTTTGCGCTTTTTACTGATGTAATTATTTTAATTATATTACTAAAAAAACTTAAATATAAGAAAAATAAAATAATTCAAGAAATAAAAATGAATAAACTATGTAGACAAAAAAAACGAAAGAAACTGATAATTTTTTTTTTACTAAAATTAAAATTGATGATAAACAAATAAAAACTGATTCAAAACTTAAATAATCTATAATAGTGTCTCAGTGATACTAAAATAAGTTGGAAGTTTTTAACTTTGAGGTGTTGCTAATAACTCATTTGGACAACGTGATGCATTGTTTTCTGTAACTTATTCCTGATTTTCTTTAATTGGTCTTAAACGGGTCTTTAAAGTCTTAAATATACCTGCAGAGCCCCTTAATTAATCGCTGTTTATTAGGTGGTGAAGTACTGGCCGGAGAAGGGCAAGTCCGGCTTCCTCGTTTGGAGATACTTGCTGAAACGAAACGACGATGAACCGGCGCCGTGGACCCGCGAAGGAAAAGAGCGCATTAAGAAACTGGGGCTCACCATGCAGGTAAAGTCTGACAGATTTCACTCGCATTTCACCCAAAATAGTTATTTCTTCATTAAGGTTCGCCCGTTAATCCTCATTCCCCTGTGCTTCAGTATCCTGAAGGTTATCTGGAAGCCGTGGCTGCGAAAGAAAAGGAGAAAGAGAACAAAAACGACGAAGACGTTGATGAAACGCCCACTAAAGGCAAGAGGAAGAGGAAATCCCAGACTGGTAGGTGAAAACGTCTTGGTTTAATAAAGACCAAACCTGATGATCAGTCATAACATCCTCGCTTTTCTCAATCGTAGTGGACGAGAAGAGCTCTCCGGCCAAAAGCACGCCTAAGAAGATGAAAGTGGAGGCCTACAAACTGAGCAAAGAGCAGAAGGTCTTGATCAAGGACGACGAGCTCAACAAGAAGCTGTGGGACGAAGCCATGGAGTCTCTCAACCTCGGACCTGTACGTACAGACCAGCGTCTTTAATGCGTCTTGTAATTAAGGTGCTCTGAAGATATTGTCGGTTTAATGTGTTCGTGTCGCACTTGTAGCGCTTCATCAACAAAGTGGAGGAGGTTTTCTTGTGCATCTGCTGCCAAGAAGTCGTCTATCAGCCCATCACCACAGAATGCCAACACAACGTCTGCAGGGTAAGAGACCACAACCACAGACGCACACTCATGTTATACAGCAGCAACGGACTTTAGAGTGGACAATAGAAAGCTATTCAATTTTCCTGTGAATGCATGTGATGGACCTTGAAATTCAAAATTCTATATGTGACCCTGAAGCACAAAACCAGTCATAAGGGTCAATTTTTCGAAATTGAGATTTATACATCATCTGAAAGCTGAATAAATAAGCTTTCCAGTGATGCATGTAGAACAATATTTGGCCGAGTTGCAAATAGATTTACAACTATTTGAAAATCTGGAATCTGAGGGTGCAAAAAAATCTAAATATTGAGAAAATCATCTTTAAAGTTGTCCAAATGAAGTTCTTAGCAATGCATATTACTAATCAAAAATTAAGTTTTGATATATTTTCGGTAGGAAATTTACAAAATATCTTAATGGAACATGATCTTAATTTCCTAATGATTTTTGGCATAAAAGAAAAATGTATAATTTTGACCCATACAATGTTTTTTTGGCTATTGCTACAAATATCCCCCAGCGACTTAAGACTGGTGCAGGGTCACAGATAAATACATTTTTAATTAAACTTTTTATGTATTTTAGTTACCTTTTTATTTGGTTATTCATTTTAATTTAGGTTTTTACATGCATTCTTGTTTAATAATTAATTGTTTTTTTATTTTGTTTTAAATTAAATTTTACTTTATTTTAGTTCTTTATTTTAATCGTATTTTGTTGGTCATTTTAATTAAGCTTTAAGCAGGGTCACAGATAAATACATTTTTAATTAAACTTTTTATGTATTTTAGTTACCTTTTTATTTGGTTATTCATTTTAATTTAGGTTTTTACATGCATTCTTGTTTAATAATTTTAATTGTTTTTTTATTTTGTTTTAAATTAAATTTTACTTTATTTTAGTTCTTTATTTTAATCGTATTTTGTTGGTCATTTTAATTAAGCTTTAAAGTTGTATTTGTTATTTTTAATTATTGTTTCACAATTGAATATGTATTTTAGTTATTTTAATTAAGCTTTTTTATATTTTTTAATTATACTTCATCTTATTTATTTTTAATTTTGATTATACTTTTTTGTAATTATTCTTTAGTAAAATTATATTTGAGCTATGTATTATATATAATGTAATTATGCTCCATTTCAATTACTTTTTATTTATAGTATTTTAATAACTTAATTTTATGTATTTTATTTTAATTATACTTTATATTTTAGTTATACATAAATATATAATTATTTTAAAATAAGTTATTTTTTATACTCTTTTAATATGTATTCATTTTTATTTATCTTAATTATTCCTTTGTTTTAATGTACTATTTTATATTTTAATATTTTAATTATACTTTTCATACATGTTATTTATTTTTATCTGTTTATTCATTAATTATAATTTGATCACTCCCTCCCAGGCCTGGAAAAAAGTAATAGAAATTAATTTTTAATTCATGAAAATGCCATTTGAAACCATTTTTCCCCAAATTGTGCTGAGATGTAAAGTTTGTGTGTGTGTGTGTGTGTGTGTGTGTGTGATCTCTGAAATGTATAAAAACTGAAAATTAGCTTGACGTTGTACTTCTATCACAATATCGCATTAGCAGCAATATAAATATGCCTGCTTTTATTACATATGCGCTAGTTTGTACGTTTATGAATAAGACACAAACGATTTTCTTCTCTTTGCAGGAATGCCTTCAGCGGTCTTTCAAAGCCGAGGTCTACTCATGTCCGGCTTGCCGATACGATCTGGGCAAAAACTACGAAATGACGGTGAACAAACCTCTCCAAGCCATCCTCACCCAGCTCTTCCCCGGATACAGCAGCGGCCGGTGTTGACACTGATGCTGTCGTCACGGCGACGTGACAGAATTCCACGAACGAAACATGGATTTCATTTTTTAATATATTTAACAAATGCATCAGGTTGTAGGAGTGATGGAAACCTCCGCCTTGATTGAACACCGCTACTTGATTTGGCCCTGTTTGGTGACCTGCCTCTATCTAGCCTCTCGACTTCTATACGCTGTAGTTATTTCTTACGAATTGTGATCTTCGTATTTACGAGTAAAGTGATAATAGTGGTGTTTTAGCTATAGCCACTTCAAGTGACGTATCATTGCCTCCTTGTACCCTACACCAGCACAATGAACCATAGCTATGCACAATTACAATGTTCATTAATCATTTTTCGCAGCAATTTGTCATTACGATGATTTGTACGAAAACGCTGGCTCTAGAATCCCGTTGCTTCATAAGTGCGTTTGACATTTTTATTGTACCATCGTTTGGAACTAACTAAATTTAACGGATGCTAATATCCCATCAAGTTTTTTTTGCCATTTGATGTTAACAAGCTTTCGTACGAATGCTATTTAGAATGGTGCTGTAGCGTTTTTACAATTGTTAGCGTTATCTACATTTAAATGAACTATCTATGCACTATTACAATGTTTAATTTTTCACAAGCAGTAATTTGTCATTGCGATGATTTGTCTGAAAGCACTGGCTCTAGAATCCAGTTAAAACAATCCCATTGCGTTATGATCAGTGCGTTCGATGTTTGTACCACCGTTGATGCTAACTAAATGTAGATGAACTAGCTATGCACTATTATATTATCTTTATCTAATATTCCAACAACTTTTTCGCCATTTATGATGTTAACAAACCTTCGTACAAATGTTAAGACCTGAGTGCCGTAGCAGTAACAGTTTTACTGTACAATCGTTAGCGTTAGCTAAATTCAAATGAACTAGCTATGCGCTGTTACAATGTTGGCTAATGGTTTTCGCAAAGTAGTAATTTGACGTTACGATGCTTCGTGTGCAAGCGCTGCCTCTAGAATCCTGTTAAAATGATTCAGTTGCATTATGATCTGTGCATTTGACGTTTTTACTGTACCATCATTAGCGCTAACTAAATGTAAACACGCCAACTGTGTACTGTATACGATTTTTGCGACACTAATATCCCAACAGGTTTTTTCATCCTTTATGTCGTTAACAAGCCTTCATACGAATGCTAACATCCATGAGTTTAAGGTGCTGTAGCAGTAATGTTTTTACTGTACCATCGTTAACTAAATTTAAATAAACTAGCTATGCACTATAAAGATGTTTACAACGTTAATCTTTCAGCAACTTTTTTTGGCCAGCAGTTTTTCGTCATTTATGACGCTAACAAGCCTCCGTACAAATGCTATTAAATCCGTGAATTTAAGGTGCGGTAGCTTTTCTAGCGCGCAAAACCGTTTTACATTTTGGCTTTATTAAATCTTTTATCGTACTGTCTTTATTGGTAACTAACTAAATTAAAAAATTTATTCATTTTAACCTAATAGTAATTTACGTTAAAAACTCAACGTTCGTTGAAATTGATAAGCGACTAAATGAATACGCTCTGAAATGAATAGATATCATCCCTCTTTTTTTCCGTTTCGTTTAATTGCTTCGCTGTTTAACTGCTGTAGGTGCTTTAGAAATGGAGAGTCGTTTTCCCACTAACTTCTGCCGTTATGCAAACAGTGGTCATGCGCGTAAAACCAATCCGCGATCTGCATTTCAGGTGCTGTTTTAAGTCGATCCCGGAACCGGTTTTAAGCGCTCCTGCTCTGCCTTGACTTGTCGAAGGTTTTCGAGGGAAATCCTTGAACCGTTTTCCGCACAAACCCCAACAGTTTCTCATTCAGGAAGTATTTAATTGTACCGTCTTTTTTCGCCCGTTGACGTTTTTTGCTTGTTGTAAAAGTTATTATAGAATTTGCTAAATAAAATGCCTAAGGCTGCAGATAATTACCATTTTTTTTTATTTTTTAAACGTTCTTAGTTATACCTAAACTATTTCTAATATTTGAGTAGACTGGAGCTGTATATTCTGAAATTTGAAATTGTATATTTTTAGCACTTGTATTTAGCAATTTTATGTAGTGGTTGGTGCATAGCTATTTTCTTGCACTGGGATGAGTGCTATATTTTTCAATAAACTGTATTGAACTTTTATATAAAATAAAACCCTGTGTGTACTCTCTTATTATATAACGCTCTGTGCGCGTGTCCACTTTATTTTGGAATAAAAAGCAAGCAGTTTTATTAGAACGAACGTTAAAATTGTCTGAACTTCCGGGTTTGCCTTAGCTCTATGGCGTAGCTGTTGAGAAATTTAAGTGGATTTACTTATTGTAGAGCTAACCATATTTAACACATTCCAAGCGGATGTCATAACAAACGTCAGTAGGCAAGGAAGTTATTAAAATTAGTACGACCTTACTTTTACGCTGTGGAAATGCAACCGGATGACTGAAGACAACTGAAAAGGGGCGGGGCTAAATAATATAGCGTGCTAAACAAACGTTTTGCGCTACAAACCAGTGTGTTTGACTTTTTAAAATTAATTTAGATACAATTTTGTGATTATTAAGCAACATAATGGACTGTTTTTGTTCAGAAAAATAAGAATCTTTATTATTTATTATTTTTTTTAATAAAAAAATAAGGCGGATAACGCGCTGGAGTCGCTCAGAAACCCTGAAGGCCTTTTTGTGAAACAAATAAATCTTTCACAAATTCTCAAAAAATCTCAAATTTTAATTTAATTCTGAATAATAAAAGGAAAACGGGTAGATGGATAAATAGATGGTTAGTCTATATTGTGTATGTTCTTTGAACATATTTCCACGTCGTTTAAATTAAGGCTTTTCTTCAACTTGTAACGCATTTAGCTGAAAACATGCTTAAAACGGGAAGAATCTTGAATATAAACCGTATATGGCATATTCCATCAAACGCTGCCGCACAATACCGGAAGACACACTGTTATTACGTGATTTCCGTGATAGTAGAATGCACAAACACGACGCGAAAGGCCGGTTGAGCCGTCAATCGAACGCGTCAGCCAATGGGAGGTTACGCTTTGCTGCGATCCAGCCAATCACGGCACACGTCGCGCTGCAGTGGGCGGAGACGCGGCCCAGCGCTGCCGTAACACTACCGAACCTTTAACGTTAGAATCCAGAAAACGGAGAGAATCGAGAAGAAAACAGCGAAAAGAGTACAAAACGAACCAGAGCAGGAGGTAACGCGATATATACGATCTATATAGCGCTTTCAGGTCGAGTCCGCTGACGCTGGAGGGGGTTTTATTGTTATTTGGGATGTTAAGAGAGCAGCTGTGTTGATATGCTTGTCAAATCAGCAGCTGAAGGCTGCTAGTGAGAAATATTAGCACACTAACGCGTTCGCATGTGAGTGCATTTGATGCATAAGTCACAGTGTGTGATGTACATGTCTTGCTTTAATAATTTCGCGTGTGATTTTTCATGCATTTCGCTTTAGCAGCCATGGTGCGTTCTGCTGTAGGCTGCACACACACACAAAGGCCATTTAAAGCTGCATCTCTCGTGCTGTTTGAACTTGAGCCGAGCTGAACACCAGGAGTTTGACATGCATTTTGCATCGATTGGTTCGTTCTTTCATGCGTGGATGGTGTTTAAGGTAAAGCATCAAGCATAGTTTTAATAGCTGACGAACTGCAGTCATCGAAAGTTAGTGGCAGGAAAATGTCTAAGCTATGAAGACGTACTTGAGGGGAATTTTGCGTGCAATTGTTGATTATTTGTTGCATGCATGCATGCATAATATTGAAGGTAATACAGAGACTTTAATAATATCTAATTCAATTAAAATAAGCGATGCATTTTGCATATGGCTATTTTTTTGTATTTTATTTTTTAAAGGAGTAGATCATCCAGAAATGAATATTTGCTGAAAATTGACTCACCCTCATGCCATCCGAGAATGTAGATGAGTGTGTTTCTTCATCAGATTTGGAGAAATGTAGCATTGCATCAGTTGCTCTGCAGTGAATGGGTGCCGTCAGAATGAGAGTCCAAACAGCTGATAAAAACATCACAATAATCCACAGCACTCCAAACCTGCATGTTTGAAAGAAACAAATTTTTTAGCATTTTTTAAATGTGCTCCCGCCTTCATAAAAACGCTTCCTCCAGTGAGTCAGTGTTCTGGTCTGAATCAGGAGAGAAATCTGCACAGATCCAGCACTGTTTAAAAACAAATATGTGGCTGTATTTTGATAACCTGCATGTTTGAAAGAAACAAATCGAGCATTTTTTAAATGTGCTCCCGGCTTCATAAAAACGCTTCCTCCAGTGAGTCAGTGTTCTGGTCTGAATCAGGAGAGAAATCTGCACAGATCCAGCACTGTTTAAAAACAAATATGTGGCTGTATTTTGATGTCCGAGACAACATGATATGGGCTTCTGGAGGAAGCGTTATTATGAATTATGGACTCGTATTTTAGCCGGAAGCAACAATTGAAGTTAAAAATGTCTTGATGGATTTCTTTCAGTGCTTTTCTGCTTGGTTTGTTATGCAGCTGTCATGCAGTTATTGATGATTTTGTTCATGCATGCAAAATCTTTAAGGTACAGCACAGGCTATAGTGTAGTTTTCAAAATATAATGTAATATAACATGGCGATTTAATGTTTTCACTGTCAGAGAGAGCATGAAACATGCACTTCTGCTTGATTCGGACAACTTCTGTTTCCAAGAAGTGGCAAGAAAAGGGAAAAACAAATGCACTGCTTGCTTGTAGCCTATTTGATTTCTATCTGTTGTTGGTAATATTATCACTTATTAATAGTAATTTTTCTGTAGCTAGTTATAAGGGTCTGTATTTCCGGCTAATGTATTTCCATGCCGTTTAAATCATAATGCCTTGAGTAAGTTCATTAACATGTGCGCTCCATGTCTTTTGCATAAGGAAATATCATGCAAAGCAGCATGGCTGCCGGACTCTTTGATAGCTAGCTAACTATTCTGTGCATTTCAGATATTTTAAGTTTAGTTTGATTTAACTTAGTTAGCCATTTTATTATTTTATCATGGTTGGCAACTTCATTGTGTGCAAAAAATGTATTTATATCAATCTTCAAATCTGTAATATTAATTTTTAATTTGTAGTACTTTACTTCAAAATAGTGTCTTTGTTTCAAAATGTGCTTTAAAGAAGATCATTCGAATTCAGTCCAAACAGATTGCGTTAGTTTAATGGCGTGTCTTTATTATTGATGTGCACAATAATCTGGTTTCTTATGCGGGATCATGCAAAGAGCCACATATTTTTTCTCTCTTTTTCACGGCTGTGCAGTGTTTTTCGTCATTCGTGTGCTTGTTGTGCTCGTGGTTTGTGTGTTTCTGATGAAAGCGTGTGCAACGCAACAGGTCAGACGAGGATTTCGGCACAGTGACGGTAATAATAATGGCTCTGAGAGTTTCGCTTTGGGCACTTTGGTAATTGGCCTGCTCTGAACAGGTTCTTTTTCAATGCTTTTATTTCGTAATCTTTTAAAAAACCATCATCTTTTATCATTTTCTACATGGCTTGAATTGGAAAACCCCCAAAAACAATTCAATAAAAAAACCGATTAATTCATCAATTCGTTTTATTTATAGGTAGGTTTAACATTTTCAGCTTTTTTGTTAATTTCAGGACTGTTTATTATTGAACAGCAGTTAAAAATGTTATATATATATGAATTTGAGGTTTTTGTCACCATTTAAAAACCGGTTTCCGATAATGATGTTTATTGATTCAGGCTTATTTTTATATTTTTGTAGCCTATTTCTGTCTTTGAGGACCTGAAATAAGTACACTTTCTCATATAATTGATATAAATTGTATCTTAAAATATTAATATAAAAAAAACAAGAACTTCATAGACAAGTTATTCATCAACTACCAACTATCATTTATATTTTGTAAATCTCCTATCGTAAATATATCAAAACTTAATGTTTGATTAGTAATATGCATTGCTAAGAACTTCATTTGGACAACTTTAAAGATGATTTTCTCAATATTTAGATTTTTTTGCACCCTCAGATTCCAGATTTTCTAATAGTTGTATCTCAGCCAAATATTGTCCCATCCTAACAAACCATACATCAATGGAAAGCTTATTTATTCAGGTTTCAGCTGATGTATAAATCTGAATTTCAAAAAATGGACCCTTATCACTGGTTTTGTGCTCACATTCATATAAATTCAAACCTAGCCTATATGACGATTTTAGAAAATAAAACTTTTACAGGAAACAGTTATTCCAAAGTTTATAATCAGCATTTTTAGTTCGTCTCAGCGCAGTGTTTCTCTGAATGGCTGTAAGTATTAGTAATAGTGGTGTGGGTATTGATTGGTGATGTTTTTGTATTTGCGTCCGCAGCTTTAGCTGACCTGCAGTCATGGACCCGTCTTTACCTCCAGACCTGAACCCAGAGCCTGAACCGGCTCCAGAAGCAGACACCGCTCACGATTCACCTGTCCAACCCACCCTGGACTCCAGCCAGGAACCGGCTTCAGATACGGCCCAGGAACCCTCTGCAGAACCGTCAGCACCAGAACTCACACCAGAACCACCGTTCCCAGTGCCGCCTCCAGCGGCCAACTCCTACAAGATCATGACCTTCAGACCCACCATGGAGGAGTTCAAGGACTTTGGGAAGTACATCGCTTATATCGAGACCCAAGGAGCTCATCGAGCCGGTCTGGCAAAGGTATGGAAGTTTGAGTTAAATTGCAATTTTAATTTGAATTAGAAGAATTATGGTGTGTTCACACCAGACGCGAATGTAATTATTCTCGCGAGTAGATTACATACAAAGTCAACGCAAAGACGTGAATGACGCAAACGCACGATATTCGCCTCAATCGCATCTTCCGCTCAAGTTAAAAAATTTCAACGCGGGCAGAAAATTTGCATGACGCGTTCTGGTGCAAGCCAATCAGTGAAGAGCTTCTTGACACGTCCAGTTGAATCAGACAATGGCAGAGAACATTATTGCAGCCGTCTGTTATTATATAGGTCTGGAGCATAGAAAACAATTAAAATCAGTTGTAGTGGTAGTTGTATTTTATTAGCGTGGCTACAGAGATGCTGCTATCAATAATAAAAATAATAGTAATATAGACTTGCACAACAGCGCTGTATGCTGCGTGAGAGACGCGTGCGCACTCTGATGTAAACAAGCGCGGAGGAGAAGCGCCCGGCGGAACATGAGAGACGCTCTGGAGGAAAGCGCACTTTCACTCTCTGACAGCAGGTGGCGCTAAACTGCAGAAATAATAATAATAATAATAATAATTTAAATGCAGCCGTTACGCCATAAACCCTGTAAACAAAGCAGCTGCACTACTTTCTGTTTCTGAATGGTGTTTAAATGATTTAAACAGCCATTCAGATTTGTGTATTTGCTCTGATGTTCATCACAGCGCCAAATACTTACATATTTAGACTTAATAGGCTATTTATTTTCAGTCTTTTTTTACATTTTAATCAGGACTACAACATGGCCTAGATATTGTTTGAAAGTGTTTTGATTCTTTATTGTTCGGTCACACTTCACATTAGGGCTTCATTAGTTAACATAATTTAATTCATTAGTTAACATAAACTGCCAATGAAAAATTCTTCTGAACATTCATTAATCTTAGGTAATTACAATATTTAATAACACGTTGTTAAAATCGAGAGTTGCAGCTGTGTTATTTAATGAGCTAACATGAACTAAGACTTAATAATTAATAACTTCTGTAGCAAATGCCGCTATTGCTGATTGTGAATGTTAATGCATTAACTAAGCTTAACTAATGAGGTCTTATTGTAAAGTGACACCTATTGGTCTTTATAGTTCTTTTGCACTTTAATCTGTGTAAAATTTTTAACTTTATACATTTTTCTGTATTGCTTTATTGCATTTAAATGTTCAGTTATTTTTGTTATAAGAAAAAAGTTATTATACCTGTTATACTGTATTATGACAGCACTTTTTTTCAAGCCATACATCAATGGAAAGCTTATTTATTCAGCTTTCAGATGGTCTATAAATCTCAATTTCGACTTATGACTGGTTTTGTGGTCCAGTGTCACATATATTTACACATATAACTTTGAATAATCAATTCTGTAAATGCATTTTTTCATATCTTCTGAACACTAAGATAGTCATTTTTGTTTTCTAAGGACTTGAGCAAACATAATGAAAAACGCTTGTGTCAGTTTTCTAACTGTACGGTTATTTTCTCGCTCAGGTTATTCCGCCAAAGGAGTGGAAGCCGCGGCGTTCCTATGAGACCATTGAAGAGATGGTCATTCCTGCTCCCATCATGCAAGTGGTGACCGGCCAATCAGGACTCTTCACTCAATACAACATCCAGAAGAAGTCCATGACGGTCGGAGAATATCGCAAACTGGCCAATAGTAAAAAGTACACTTTGTTTGATCAAATCCAATTTTTATAATGTATACAACGTGGTTTCTTTGTAAAGTTGCCCTCTCTTATCTGGACCTTTATGTCAATAACGTGACTAAAATTTTAATTGTCTTTTGGGGGTATTTTTTCAAAAAGATTGACTGAATGGTGAAGTAAGATTTTTTTATGTTTTTAAAAGAAGTCTCTTCTGCTCACCAAGCCTGCATTGATTTGATCCAAAATACAGAAAAAGCAGTAATATTGTGAAATATTTTTACTGTTTAAAATAACTGCTTTCTATATGAAAATATTATAAAATGTAATTTATTCCTGTGATTCAAAGCTGAATTTTCAGCATCATTCCTCCAGTCTTCAGTGTCACATGATCTTCAGAAATCAGTATAATATGCTGATTTGCTGCTCGATAAACATTTCTGATTATCATCATTATGTTGAAAACAGCAGGGTAGATTTTTTTTCATGTTTCTTTGATGAATAGAAAGTTCAGAAGAACAGCATTTATCTGAAATAGAAATCTTTTGTAACATTATGAAATGTCTTTATCATCATCTTTTGTCTTTTGATCAATTTAAAGCATCCTTGCTAAATAAAAGTATTAATTTCTATAATCCCCATTATATATAAATATATAAAATTATTCTGAATCCAAGATTTTGAATGGTAGAGTGTATAATGTTACAAAAGCTTTTTATTTGAGATAAATGCTGATCTTTGGATCTTTCTATTCATCAAAGAATCATGAAAAAAATTTACTCAACTGTTTTAAATATTAATAATAATAATAAATATGTTTTTTGAGCAGCAAATCAGCATATTAGAATGATTTCTGAAGATCATGTGACACTGAAGACTGGAGTAATGATGCTGAAAATACAGCTTTGAATCCAGAAATTTCTGTACTTTGGATCAAATCAATGCGGGCTTGGTGACCAGAAGAGAATTCTTTAAAAAACATTAAAAATCTTACTGTTCAAAAACTTTTGACTGGTAGTGTAGATTTAATGCTAAGTTTGCGCTTTTACTACAGCAAGTGTTTCATTGATTCTTCAAGCTTGATTTATACTTTAACTTTGTGTTTTCTTGACCGATCTCAGGTACTGCACCCCTCAACACAAGGACTTTGATGACCTGGAAAGAAAGTGCTGGAAAAACTTGACGTTTGTGTCGCCCATTTATGGCGCCGACATCAGCGGGTCCCTCTATGACCAGGTTAGTCACCTTTACTATGATTAGTGTTCAATAGGAAACTATGGTGATATACATTTTCTTTTAATATATTTTATTTCAGTTAAAGCTTGTTTTATTTTAAAGGAGACATATTATGTCCCTTTTTACAATATGTAATATAAGCCTCTGGTGTCCCCAGAATGTGTCTGTGAAGTTTCAGCTCAAAATACTCCACAGATCATTTATTATATCATTTCGAAAATGCCTATTTTGAGTGGAAGCAGAAACACGCTGTTTTTCGTGCCTGTCTCTTTAAATGCAAATGAGCTGCTGCTCCCCGCCCCCTTTTCCAGAATAGAGCTGCGCCATTACAGCTCGTGTAAAGTTGCCCTCTCTTATCTGGACCTTTATGTCAATAACGTGACTAAAATTTTAATTGTCTTTTGGGGGTATTTTTTCAAAAAGATTGACTGAATGGTGAAGTAAGATTTTTTTATGTTTTTAAAAGAAGTCTCTTCTGCTCACCAAGCCTGCATTGATTTGATCCAAAATACAGAAAAAGCAGTAATATTGTGAAATATTTTTACTATTTAAAATAACTGCTTTCTATTTGAAAATATTATAAAATGTAATTTATTCCTGTGATTCAAAGCTGAATTTTCAGCATCATTCCTCCAGTCTTCAGTGTCACATGATCTTCAGAAATCAGTATAATATGCTGATTTGCTGCTCGATAAACATTTCTGATTATCATCATTATGTTGAAAACAGCAGGGTAGATTTTTTTTCATGTTTCTTTGATGAATAGAAAGTTCAGAAGAACAGCATTTATCTGAAATAGAAATCTTTTGTAACATTATGAAATGTCTTTATCATCATCTTTTGTCTTTTGATCAATTTAAAGCATCCTTGCTAAATAAAAGTATTAATTTCTATAATCCCCATTATATATAAATATATAAAATTATTCTGAATCCAAGATTTTGAATGGTAGAGTGTATAATGTTACAAAAGCTTTTTATTTGAGATAAATGCTGATCTTTGGATCTTTCTGTTCATCAAAGAATCCTGAAAAAATTGTCTCAACTGAACTGTTTTAAATATTGATAAATATGTTTTTTGAGCAGCAAATCAGCATATTAGAATGATTTCTGAAGATCATGTGACACTGAAGACTGGAGTAATGATGCTGAAAATTCAGCTTTGAATCACAGAAATAAATTACATTTTAAAATGTATTCAAATAGAAAGCAGTTATTTTAAGTAGTAAAAATATTTCACGATATTACAGCTTTTTCTGTACTTTGGATCAAATCAATGCGGGCTTGGTGACCAGAAGAGAATTCTTTAAAAAACATTAAAAATCTTACTGTTCAAAAACTTTTGACTGGTAGTGTAGATTTAATGCTAAGTTTGCGCTTTTACTACAGCAAGTGTTTCATTGATTCTTCAAGCTTGATTTATACTTTAACTTTGTGTTTTCTTGACCGATCTCAGGTACTGCACCCCTCAACACAAGGACTTTGATGACCTGGAAAGAAAGTACTGGAAAAACTTGACGTTTGTGTCGCCCATTTATGGCGCCGACATCAGCGGGTCCCTCTATGACCAGGTTAGTCACCTTTACTATGATTAGTGTTCAATAGGAAACTATGGTGATATACATTTTCTTTTAATATATTTTATTTCAGTTAAAGCTTGTTTTATTTTAAAGGAGACATATTATGCCCCTTTTTACAATATGTAATATAAGCCTCTGGTGTCCCCAGAATGTGTCTGTATGTCACCTTTAAGTATGGATTTAGTTACTTTAATAACCTTAATGATTTTATCAATATGCATGTGTTTATGACGTTTTTTCTTCATCAGGACATCACGGAGTGGAACATCGGCCATCTGAACACTCTTCTGGACATGGTGGAGCAGGAGTGTGGGATCGTCATCGAGGGCGTCAACACGCCCTACCTGTACTTCGGCATGTGGAAAACCACTTTTGCCTGGCACACGGAGGACATGGACCTCTACAGCATCAACTACCTGCATTTCGGCCAACCAAAGTCCTGGTGAGAGTCCTACATTCACTATATATGTGCGTTTAGTTGAGTGCAAAAAGATTCAGAGGAGTTTGTTGGCCATTTTTAACATTTGAACTACATTAAAGTGATTAAGTGTGATCAGATTTGGTCATTTTGGCAGTATTTTACCAAAAATTTACTTGACTTTGTTCTCTTTTCATGTGCATTCAGTAAATTTGTGTATAACTTTAATTGTAATTATAATTTTTAAATTCATGTTAGAAATACATTTTTTACATTTTATATAAAAATGCACTCTGAAAATCGAAAAAAAAAAGTAACAATTTGATAAAAAAAAAAAAAAAAATTATACTACAGAAACCAGAGCTTTAAGTTCTCCGGCACTGTGCCGGATTTCCGGCGTGCAGTGTTTGGCTGTGGGGAAAAAAAGAGAGTCGTCTTACATTTTAAAAACATGTGTTGATATCACGTTCAAGTTCACGAGTGCGCCTACCAGTGTATGAGAGGAACACAGCTTTCACTCTCAACCAAACTAACATTACTAGCCAATCAGAAAGTTTTGCTCTTATAAACACGAGACGTGCATAATAGTAGGCCTATCCAATTGCAGAGTCGCAGCTGATGAATGGAAAAGAAGCCTGGGTCTCGAGCGCGACACATTGAAAAAGCTGCGAAGCGCAATGTTCAAAGATTTCCATCTAGCGTCATATTTACATAGAAAAGCTATTAAAAAGCAGTGGAGCTTTGTAAACAGCTCAGAGTTATCAAGCCATCTCCATAAGAACGACATGATTGCCAGACTAATTTACTGGGATTTTTGAAAAAGTCCTGTTCACACATGATCTCTTAACGGTAATTTAGCAGTAAAGACTATATGTGTGAAAGGGGCTAAACTCTGCATATGCGGTGAGTTTGGGTTGCTTAACGTTCATCTGGGAAAACTCACTTGATTTGTAACGTAAACCATTTAAACCTATGCCAACACAGGAGAATACATCAACATACGTCTAAATATGCGATTTATTGTACATCGCGATTTCAAAATAAAAGTTTCCGAATTTGTATGTGGCCAAATATTAAAATTAAATGGATTTAAACGTTGTTGAATCACATGAAACATCACCATGCCGTTGGCGCCCTCTGCAGGTATTTGTTATAATATAGGCATATTACATTTATGTCTTCAACAGTGTTGTTCGATAAAACCATGTACTTGGTTTTGATACTTTATTTGAGGCCAATTATTATTGCCTCATCGTTACTTTATATATAAATGTAGTCATATTAAAGCCTGTTTTTTCCCTTAGTTCTATTTGTATTACTAAAAAAATATCAGATTACTCACTTGTCAAAATACTCAGTAGTTAAGCCCTAGATTAGTTAAAACATTTCAAAATACAAGTGCTTTGTTTTACTTTTTGTGATTAAAAGACAGATATTTTGTCATTTGAAAATTTCTTTAAATATTAAAACATTGTCTCGGTTTAGTGAACCAAGTATCTGTATTTTGTCTGACCTTGTGAGCTAAGTGTATCGTCACACCCCTAGTGTCTATGAGCGTGATAAAGCTCGTTTTCCAAGTGTATGACATAGCTTTCATTCTTCAGGTCAATCATATATTCATGAAAAAAATCAGTTTGAATAAGGAAAGCGATAACTTTGCCATAGTATCCTTTCAAATGTTAAAGTTGCCACAGTCATTGCATTCTTTGCATGTGCTGCACTTTATTTGTACCATTTTGTTTTATTAGTTTATTTATTAGAATTTGAAAGATAATAACAATATTGATTGATAAGTGAGATTTGATTTTAGTCCTTGAAAACCAAAAAATTAGTGAAAATATTTATCTGTAAAATTACTTAAATCATCTTTTTTAAAATATATTTTAGGAATCAGTGCTTTATGTGGTAAACAATATTATGCAACAAAATCTGTTGAAAACATTAATATATGGAGGTTTATAAGCATTACTTACAGATAAAAACACTTAAAATTGTTATATTTGCTTTCTTTTCTTGTGCATTCAATGCATTTGTGCATAATTATACACACACACACACACTAGTCTCGTGTCTTTTAATCAAGCTGGAAAGCAGTAGTCAATCAAGGGTGGGTTTTTTTGTCTTGGAAAAATTCATTTAAAAGTAGTCAATGTTTTAGGAATTTGTAAAGTGAATGGCGTCTGGGCTTCAAACATGTGTGAGATGAAAAGCATAATAGGTTGCATCACGAAAGACTTTTAAGTAGAAAGTAGGAAACAAGACTCCCACTAAATGGTAGAGTGTTTCCCAGGACTTAATGATATATTTTAATGATGCTGAGTGCTAAAATGTTATATTTATTGTGAGTGTAATCTATACAAAGTGCACTTTTAAAATTGTTAACCAATAATCACAAACAACTGGGAAAGTCGTTGAAATGCAAAGCTCAAAAATAGTTTAATTGAGTTTCAATGAGTAATTGAGTTTCAATGAGAAATTTTGTATTTTTCACGTAATTGAACGTTAGTTGTTCAGGATTGAAAACTAACTAGTTTTTCATGAAATCAAGTAATTTTTCATAGTAAACTTTTAGAATTACACACTCTTTTTGTCAGATCCTTTAATAAAAGCGCACAGACAACGACTAGTGCTTTTTGTACCAAAAATGATGTCAAACATCAATCATTTTTATCCTCACAATTTAGTAGAAGTACATAAATCCATCAATGTAAATGTTACACAAATGCAACTGCATCTGCATCTGTTTGCTTTAAGGAAAGTTGTTGAATTCTTTATTTAATTTCAAAGCTTGTTAGCACAATATACCCTCATTTTAAAAAGAATGTTATTGACCATTTTATTTTTTGCGTAGCTACCAATTGCAAAAGAGACCTCAGAGTTTGCATGTAAAAATATTGTTTCTGTAATGAAAAAGTTCAGTTCCCTGATCAAAAGATGTGGGAACCATAAAACTGTGAATAGTAAATGCAAATGCAGGAGGTAACATCAAGGACTCCTCATTTGAAAGTTACACTAGGGCCAGATTTAATGCGAATTTATTTTTTTTTAACATTGTTTCATCAAATTTAGTTTTTTTTGTAGATTTAAACCCTTTTGGTGAAAAATGACTAAAAAGCACCATAACAGTAGTCCATATGAGCTGTACGCTGTATTTCACTTCTTTTGAAGTCGTACAATACATTTGTGTGAGGAGTAATCTAAGTTTGTGTTTTACTGAAGGAAGAAAGCCATGCAGGTTTGAGGTTGAGTAAATAATGGCAGTAGTTCAGTATCGGATGAAGCATTCCTGCCTGAAAATCCTGTTCTTTTCCTGCCCCAAATAACGCAGACGAAACATCGCCGTAATCCTGAACGAGGTGCTGGCAGAACCTCCCGAATATTCACGGCGCTGTCTAGGAAAGCCCTGGCGTCTGCCTGTGGTTGTGTGGATTATGAGATGTGAAGATGTTTGTGCGTCTCTGAGATCTGAGGCTGCTGTACTTCAAAACACTAGCATACCCCACACACGCTCCTGTCCCACTTAAACAAACACCCGCTTTAAACCAGCGCGCAAACTCGACATGATGATCCGCGCAGAGACGTCACACAGAGAACACGTGTGTGTGTGTGTGTGTGTGTGTGTATAAACACCAGCAGCGTTTTGACGCCATGACTCGTCTTTTTTCACCCTCATTTGGTGTTTTTTTGTTTGTTTTTTTCCCCCCTTTGATTAGGATGAATTATGATTTATTTTACTGCCATCAAGCTATAATGCACTTCAGTTTTGAGGCTCTGAAATAAATAAGACTTTTATCAATATATAGGATTATATATAGATAGTATAAATCTCTTTAGGAGTCTCCAAGATTTTAAAGTATTTAAAGTTTTATGATATTACATTTTATATATATATATATATATGTATTTTATCATTTTTCTTTAATTCTTATATTTTATTTGTATCATTATTTCTATTAAATATTTTAAAATTGTATTCTTTATAGCATTCAAAAATGAATAGTTTAGAATAAATTTAATTGCTAACTTATTCGTGAATTGTGATTGCAATATATATATTTTTATAAAATTACAAAATATTTTATCTTTCTATTAAACATGTTGTTTCATCTGCTCTTTATAAATATAAACCCAAGATGATTTTTATAATATTAATTTATTTTATTTATGTCTAGCTTTAATATATTGCCTTAATTTTATTTATATAAAATGTTAACACAATATTATTCTTATGTTTATTTATATATATATATATATATATATATATGTATGCATTTTTCTTTTAATTATTATTTATATAAAATATTTTAAAATTGTATAAATATTAAAAATTATATATATTTTTTTTATACATTTAGACTAAATTTTAGTGTTAACTTGTTTGATTTCTGCGTGAAACCGTCCACACGCGTTCCCGAAGGAGAATCGCAGTATTGAGCTCAAACCGTCTCGAGGAGAGTCACAGAAACAGCGGTCTGTGCTAAAGCTTTCTGTTATGCAAGGCCTGGCGCCGCTAATGGTTTATGCAAAACTGCTGTACTTCATACCCTGCATAAAAGCATCAGTCGCCTGGTTTTTCACCATCACAGCGTCCTTTTCATCTGTTAAATCGGTCTTCAAGGACGAAACAAAGCAGCTCTTCAGCATACATGAATGGCACGGTCTTACCTCAGCTTGGGCTCTCCACACCTCTGTCCTCCTGCTCTTCTAATGACAGAACATCTGACGATATATTATTATCAGTCGCTGGGAATATGTATGAATAACAGGAATGGAGGAAATGTATTGTGCGCAACAGCAACACGAGAACAGGAGGAAAAAGACCAACTAGCATGTTTTATGGTCATATAGTTATATAGTTGATATAGATGAGCTAAAACCTAACAAACATGGACTAACAGACACAAAAGTACATTTTTTTATATTGTTTATTTATCGATATTATTTTGTATATTAATCATCGCAATAATTACATTTTTATAAAAAAAATTATTTTATTATTATTTTTTTTTTGAATGTCTCTTCATTATAGATATAGATATAAACCCAAGATAATTTTTTTAATATTTATTTATATGTATTTATATATATATATATATATACATTTAAAATATATTGATATATATTTAAATTTATGTATTTTATATGTACATTTTAATATATTTGTATAAATGTTTATTTGTATGCTTTTATTTTTAATGTTTAAAATAAAAATTTAATTTATTTTTAATATGTAATATTCATTTTA